GTAATATAGTAGTAATATCTGCAGTAGTAGTAGCTGTAGGGTATAGTATAGTAGTAGTTAATATTTTATTTATTAAATTAATTTAGTATATTTTTAAGTATTTTTTTTTATTTTATAATTTTATCTGCTTTTTTTAATAACTATTTTATAGGGTGTTTATATGGTTTAAAAACTCTTCTACCTATTATTATTACAATATTATAAAAAGAATTATTATATATATCTAGATTTATAAATAGATTAGTATACAGTACTTATTAAACTACTTTTATTATATTTTTATTAAAAAGATTTTTTATTAATTCTGCGGTGGGCTTAAAAGTAGCTGCTATTATATAACAGTTATTTTTATTTTATTCTATTTTTAGGCGGTTTTTTTTAATACAGCTTTTTCGGCCTTTTTTGCTGTAATTTGCTTTATAAGCTTTTTTAAAATATAGTTAGCAGGAAGTTTGGAATAGTTAAATAAAAATATAAAAACTTAAAAAAAACTTAATAAATATTAGAAATGTTTTTAGTAATACTTTTTATTTACTATTTTTTTTAATAATTTATCCTACCAGTTGGTACTATTAGTATTAATATTTTTATTTTTATTACTAGATTTTTTTTAAAATCTATTATTTATTTAGATTATTTAGATTTTAATAAAAAAGCAACTCTATATTTAACTCAGCAGATAATTTTATTTTATATATTTTATTTTTATTTTTTATAATTAAAAATAACAGTAAGTGTCTTTATAATAATTAAGTTCTTTTAATATAGAATAAATACTTTACTAATTTATATAACTAAGTTAGAGATAAAGACTTTAATAAACAGAATTTTAACAACTTTAGTAAACTTGCCGGTAATTATAATATTTTTGGATTAAGTATCTTTAGACTAAGTATTTCTTAACTAAGTATTTTTTAACTAAGTGTCTTTTGTCTTTCAACTAAGTATCTTATAACTAAATATCTTTTAACTAAGTAGATATAGTATTTTTTGGCTGGGTAGATATAGTATTATAGCTGAAGAATAAAAGTAGAAATTAAAAAAGTAGTTAAAAAATAAATAAAAAAAGTAGTAGAGATTATTTTTATTTTTTTAGAGGTAAATATAGTATCTGATGTAGCTATTTACTTATTTAAAAATATTACTTTTATCTGTAGACTGGATATAAAAATATAACTTTATATTTTTTATTAAAGTTTAAATCCTGAGCTAGAACAAATTCTAAAAAAAGGTTTTTATTTAATAGTTTTTAAAGTATTATAACTTTAGCTTTTTTATTATAATAAAATATATAGTTTTTTTTACAGCCCACCTATACTAGTACAGCAAAGTTCTACTTTAGAATAGTATATAAAATATATAAAATAATATTTAAAATAATATTAGATTTATTAATTATAAAAATATATATAATTACTATACCTATTTTAACTGTAGTTATAGTTATCTAACTAATAGTATTTATAAAATATTATATATTAAATAATTAAAGCTTATATAGTATATTAGACTACCTATATAAAATATAAATATAGTAATAAATTAAAAAAATTCTTATATATATAAAAAATAAAAATATTACCGGCTGGAATATATAATTAATATAGATTTTTTTATTTATTAAAATTAGTAGAATAGTAGAGATTTTATTTTGCTATTAATAGCTTATAAATAGCTAGAAGAATCTAAGTATTATTAAAATAAGTACTATATAAAGGCTACTGTTGTTGCTTTGGTTTTATTATTTAAAATATAATTATAATAAACCAGTTTTTTTATAGTAGATTAAGATTAGGATTTTTATTATCTAAAAACTAGATAGTAAGAATCCTAGGTTTAATAAAAGTTTTTTTACAGGCTGTTATATATTTAAAACAGTTAAAAAAATTATTAATATAGATATTAAATACTTTTAAATAAAATATAGATAGAAAAGGTTTACAAAATATAGTATAATCTAAAAAAAATAAAATAATAGTTAAAAGTAATTAAAAAAATAAAGATTAAAAGTATAGAAGTAGTATAAAAAAACTAAAAATTAAAAAAGTATAAATAAATACTAAAAAGTTAAAAGTTAAAAGTAGAAAGGTATAAAATAAAATAAAATATTATAAAAAGATCTTAAAATTATAAAAAAGTTTTTTATATTAAGATATTTTTTATTAATCTATTTATTATATTCTGGCCTGTAGCTAGTATATTATACTAAATATTTAATTAATTATATACTATCTTTATATATACAGCTGTATATAGATTTAAAAGTAAAAATATAGTTAATTTTATACTTTTTATTTATATCTGGCTGGATGTTTTTTCTAACTGGAAAAGACTTAGTATACTAGTAGTTATACAAATCAGCTTTTTTTAATACAGGCTTTAATTAAGTAATTAATATTATAAAATAAATAAATTAAAAAAACTAAAAGCTTTAAATAGTAGGCTAAACAACTAATTTTTTTAAGTATAGTTAAAAAACTAATATAGTAATAATTTATTTTATTTTTTAATACTTTTATACAGCTTATTAGGATTATATACCTTTTATAAAGCCGGAGGTAGATTTTATTCTTTTTATTAAACTATATTAGCTTATGATTTTGGTTGTAGGTTTTTTTTATATTAACTACAGCAAAATTATATATTTTTATAGTATTACAATAAATTAAAAAGTCTTATTCTTATAGCAGTTATCTTATAAGATTCTATAGATTTAAAAGCTTTAATTTAAATATAAGCTTATAAAAAAATACTTTAGTAGCTGTACTAAACAAACTATTTATTATATTAATAAGCAGAGAAAAATAGTTAATCTAATTAGCATATAAATATAATATATATATATAATAAAGTATTATTTGAATTATCTAATTTATATACTTTATTTAACTATCTATTTAGAGATACTATACAGTTAAGTATAATTAAAAAATATTAAATTTTTAAAAGATATTTTTTTAAAATATATTTATAAAATAGATATTTTAGTTTAAAATAAAAACTTAGGATATTTTTTAATTATACTTTTATAAATAAAGTACTAAATACTCTGTCTATTACTTTACTAACTATTTAGTATTACTAAAGACTAAACTAATATATTTTATAAACTTATTAATAAAAACTATTAATTAGTTATACTTATCTGTATTTTTCTATTAATTATCCTTTTAATTAAGGTGTTTTAAACAGGCAGTAAACTAATAATAAAATCTATTATTATAGTATAAAAAAATAGTAAGGGAAATAATTAGCTAAAAGTTTTTATAAAATTTATATTAATATATTTTATTTATTAGATAAAAAAAGTAGTACTTAATATATTATTAGAGTAGATATTTGTTTAATATATAGCTAGTCTATTTATTATTTAAAGATACTAATTAAAATCTTAGTAGCTGCAGTTATTATAAATTATAATAAAAATATTTTTAACTATTAGTTTTAGTATATAAATCTATTTATTTTTAATAATAATTATATTTTGTCTTTCAGCTTAAGATTCAGTAATATATCTAAATATATAAAAAATATTATTTTAAAAAATATACAGCAGTTTTATATTAGGGTTATTTTATAAAATTTAGATAACATAAAAGATGCAGTACTTATTAAAATATTTTTATTATAATTTAGCTTTAAATTTCTTTAATGTTCAAAGGCTTAATATTTTAAAAAAGATGGTTTTATAGATATAAATTAAAGTATAATCTTAAAATAGTATATTTAAATATAATTCTGCTGTATTAACTGTAATATAGTCTAAGTTAATTAGTTTATTAAAATTAAAGGGGGTATAGAGTATACTTTTTAACAGTAGACAGCTTAAAATATCAGCTAGATTATTTATTTTACTTATATAATAATATATTACTAGATAATATTACTGAATAAATTAGAAAGCACATACTAGATATAGATTTAAATATTTAAATACTATTATATTAAATATAGTTTTTTAGATAAGGCTGACAGTACTAGTATAATTAATATAAATAATAAAAAATATATAAACTACTTTAATTATAATATAAATTTTTTTTAATTATTTAAACTAAATAAAAAACTTTAAGTTTAGTTGGCCAGTAGTTGTATTTTATAAAAGTTAAAATTTAATTTAAAAATATAATTAGTAATATTTATATATAAGATAGTAGTTTAGAAAGATTCTTATATATATAAATATTATTTATAGATATATATAATAAAACTATACTATACCTTTTTTTTAATATATTAAAATTAATATATAGTTAATATTTGGAATAATAATATATTAGTATAGTATTTTTACTAAACTTACTTTATAAATTAGTAAATAAATCTAATTTTTACTATATAATATTTCAACTAGCTGCAGTTGTATAGGTCTTATAATTACAGTTTTTATTACTAGATAATTATTTAAATAGTTAGATTTTATACTTTTAAAATAGCTATATATATTTTATATAGTTCTAATTTTATATTTAAATACTATAGATATTAAAATATAAAATAAAAATATTTAATATACTAGTTTAAACTAACAGATATAATTACTAGATTATTAATATATATATAATAAAATATCTTATACTTTTATAAATTAAGATCTATTTACTATTATATATAAAGTACTGTATTAATAAATTTTATTATTATTATATAAAAAATTTTTTAACTGCAATATATAACAACTGCTAAATAGTTATATTTATTTTTTTTAACTAACTATTAATAAAAGTATATATATATATTAACAATAGTAATATAGGTATATTTAATAAGTATTTAAATAATATCTTCTAATATTAAAATTAGATATAAATTAGACATAGTAAGCTTATTTATATTTTTAAAGTTAACTACTGCTCTGCTTTTTATAGTTTACTAGCTGGTTTATAGATCTATTATTATTCTTTATATAATAAATATTAAATATACTATTAGAGTATGCCCTATTATATAAGATATTTGTGACAGCTTAATGTTATGATATTAAGTATATAACTAGCTACATGGCCCGTTTAAGGCAGAAGTAGTAAGGTCTAAGGTTATATAACCTAGGATATCTCTTACACCTTCTATAAACAAGGATGTTATATATATTATGTATAAAAAAAAATATAAGACTGCTTATATTTCTAAAACAAAAAATAAAAAAAGTATAAATATAGAGATATTAGATTATATAGTCTACTATACTAAGTTGTTTAATAAAATAAGTATATATTATATATTTAAACAGCTTTGTAAGACTATCGTCTGCTTGCTTTATTATTTTAATATAAATAAATTTAATATTTTTAGCATATACTTTACACTGTATAAAATACTATTTAATTAATATTTATTTTATTTTTATATAAAATTTAGAATTTTTAGCCAGGGTAATAGCAGATTAATTATTAGTATAAATTACAGTAGGCTTAGTTATTAATATAGATATAGTTTTAAAATATTAGATATCTAACTTAGTAAAAAAAAGTTGTAGCCAAAAAAGTTTTTAAATTATAATAGTTTAAATAATATACTTATTTTTTATAAAGAATAGTATAATAGCAGTTTATTTTTTTAAACTTTAAAAGACCAGTCTGTTAGCAAGTTTAAAAATATAGCTGGAAGTTAATATAGTATTATAAATATAAAAGCCGGTCTAGTTAGTATTATAATATCTAATAAAACCAGAGCCGCCGTACTAATAAAAAGAATAATAGTTAAGAAAGCCTGTAAGACAGCGCTATATAAAATTTATTACTTAGATATAAGGCTTATTAGAATTTACTATAAAAAATAACAACTTACTAGTTATATATATAATATTAGAATATATATTAAATATAATCCAAATTAGTATACTATTATATTTTTAATATAATATAATATTGTCCGGCTGCACCGTTCCTGTATACTTAGATAAAAGATTTTTATAATTAAAAAATATAAAAAAGTCTTTACAGATAGACAGACTAAAATACTTTAAATAGTTTTTAATATATAATTTTTATAAAAAATAAATACTATTATCTGTTTGTATAATATTAATACTAAGAAAATATATATAAAAGCTGTTGTTAGTATATTTAATAAAGCTATTTAATAGTTTTTTAAAAATATTAATTATAAAAATATCTGGTGCAAGTAAAAGAATATTATTAATATAAATAAATATAAAAAAATATTTTCTAATAAATATAAAGTAATCTGTATATAAATATTTAAAGCTGTTTATAGTAAAAAGATTATAAAGTATATTATACTATTTATATAGCACCTGCTTTAATCTATACAGTAATTTAATAAATATATTATATATACTATTTTTTTAAAAGTTTTTTAGTAGTTTAATATATATTAGTTTGTATAATTTAGTATTAAAAAAGACTGTAATAATATTAAAACTATATAGCATCCAGCTAAGTATAGCTGTAAAAGTAATAAAAACTTTAAAACTAATACTTTTTACAACTACAGTATAGATCTTTTTTATTTAATAGTTCTTTCTAGTATACTAGCGGAAGCTTTTAATAATAAGATATATTTTATATATACTATTATATTTAATTTTTTATACCTATTTAAAAGACAGAAGTCTAAATTTATATTAATATAGTATAATATAAAAAATGCTTTATTTAATCTGTTATTATATTTTCTAATAGGCTGTTTTATACTATTTTAAGGCTTTAATACAGACTATAGTATTAGTATAGCTGGTAGAAGTATAGCTAATATTTTATAGTATTAACTTTTTTATAGTAAAAGATCTTTTATATTTAAACAAATACTCGGCCGGCCGCATTGCAGTAGTATTAAAAAAAATATAAATAAAATAATTTTTAACAAGTAGATTATAAAAAGTATTAATATAAAAATCTGGATTATTGTTAATATTAATAATATATATCTATAGTAATTTAAATAGTATATAAAACAGCTTATAAATATAAGTTAAATAATATAATAGCTATATTATAGTTTTTAAGGCTGCTAGTACTGGTATTAGTATTAAAAAAGTATTATTAGTAATTAAAAGATTTATAACTACTAGCTTATTATTAAAAATATTATTTTTAACAGTAGTAGGCAGTATTGCAGCTGTATTATATATAATATTATTTTTACTTATTAGTAGTAATAGTATACTAATTTATTTATATTTAATAAGCTAGTTAGAGTCTGCAGTACTGTCCGCATTTTTAAAAACTAAATTATTAGAAAAATCAGTCTAAAAAAGCTTCTATTATTAAAAAAGTATAGTAAATAAAAACTAGTAGTATAGATTATTTTATTAAGCTTATTCTATATTAGCAGTATTACCAGGCGCGGAATTAAAATTATATATAAACAGTATAAACAGTATCTATAAAATTAGTTTTTTATTAAAAATAATATTATATATATAAATAATTTATTAAGTCTTAATATTATAGATTTTATAAATAGATTTAGAATAGTCTATAAAGCAGCCTTTTTATATATAATTCTTTAGTTTATTATATATTTTTTTAAAAGTTAAATACTAGCAGCAACAGCTAAGGGCTTTTTAGTAAAAAATATCCGGTTGCATACTGTATAAGACTTTATATAGTATTTTTCTAATAAAATTATATACAGGCCTATTCTAAATATAGTTAACAGTAAGAACTATATAGTTCTAAAAATAATAAAATAATTAATTATTAGCTATAACTAAGATACAGGGCTTGATAAGGTGTCTGTTTTTAATTTTAGTAATTAGATTAAGATTAGACTGGTAATACAGGGTAGGGTCTTAGATAATATCCTATTTTTAATAGTAAAATATAAGCAGCTGGTATTTTAGTATATTATTATTATAAATATATTTAATATTAATATCCAGCTAGTATTTAAAATAGTTCTGTATAATAATAAATTTATTACAGACTTTACTGTATTTTTTAAAAAAAATATTTAGTAATAGTAAGATATATAATTTATAAAGATAATAAAGTAATATATACTAGTTTAGCTGTATATTAGTAGTAGGCTGTATATATTAGTATATATAAGATTTTTAACTTATAAACTAAAATTATATAGTTTAGTATATAATACTAGAAGTACCTAGCCTTTTTTATAAAGGCAGGGATTATATAGTAATAGAAGAATACTTTTTTTAATATTAAAACTAATAATATGCTTTAAAAAGTTATATATCTTATATTTAAAGGTATAGGCTGTGCGGTAATATATTAGATATATTAAAATTAATATATTAACAGGTTTTTTAACAGTATTAGCTGTAAGATTAGTAGGTAGTAAGTAAGTTAAGATACTATAGCTATATAAACTATATATAGTATTAAAATTTACTATACTAATTATATAAAAAAAATACTAAATCTTATCTGTAATAGTATAGCCCAGTTACTTACTATTTTTAATAAAAAGTATTATTTCTTTTATTTTAATATATATATATATATGCTGAGACGTACTAGTTGTTTATATAAAATAAAATTACTTATTAGAACTGGTATAAGCTATATACAGTCCAGTTTTAGTATATTAAATAGTTTGTTCTATTTATCTGTAAGTTTAATAGATATAATATTATAGCTAATAGTATAAAAGACTTTATCTGTTACTATTATAGCCTAATAAATATAAAATATAAAAATAGTAAAGTATTACTTAGAATATACTATATTTTTAATATTTTTAAAATCAAGCATCCAATCGTGCCTATATATTAAATGTTTATTTATTTAGAATATAGTATTTATATTAAAGCAAACTAATACTATATAGGTACCTAAAAAATTATAGTTTATACTAATTATATTAATTAATAAAAGTTTAAATAGTAGTATAGTATTTGCAGGTATAGATACAGTATTAATATTTTTATTTATATTTTTTTTATTAGCTGGATTTAATAAACACTTGCTTAAAAAGTAATTCTTATTATATTAATAAAAAGTATAGAATATTAAGTTTCTATTAATAGTATTAAGTTGTTTATATTTATACTATATATTAAAATTAGACTAGTTTTTATTATAGCTATAATTATTATTTTATTTACAGCCACAGCCTCTGCTGCTGCTGCAGCTGCTGTAATTAAATATAATATTTATTAAAATCTTATTATTAATAATATAAGCTAACAGCTAAAGAAACTAATTCTTCTAAATATATTTAAACTATATAAATTAAGTATAAACTAAAAAAAATAGTATAGTATTTTTAAAAGTTATATACTAATTTATAATAAACAGTTGCAGAGCTGTAATATTTTATATTACTATAAAAAACTATAGAAGTTTAATTTAATTATTAATAGTTTTAATACTATATAATTTATTAAAAGTATTTATAAACTTTATAAAAAATATATTTAAATAACAGTACTGTTGTAGTATATAGATACTTATTTATTATATAAACAGACTGTAGTTGCAAAGCTGGAGGTCTTATATATATTTTAAAAAAATTAGTATATTTTAGCTACTATATTATAGTTTTAAAAGTATATTAAAGGACTGGCCTTATATATAATACTAAAAATAATAAGAATTTAATAGTTTAACTAATTTTATTTTTAAATACTAAGGTTGTATATATTTAAAAAAGTACAGTTTTTTTTCTAATATTAGTAATATTATATTAAAAATTCTGCTAGATTAGTAAAGTACTATTATCAACAGTATAAGCTGTAAGAATTTATAGTTATTTATTTTTAGTTTTTAAATATAGGACCGGTTCCTTAGAAACAGTATATATACTTTAAAGTAATTTCTAAGTATTAGGAATTTTAGATCTGAGGTAGTTATATAAATTGTATTATTATACCAGCCAGTTTATCTAATCTTTTAGTTTTAATACTATTTTAAAAATATTAATATTAAACAGATCTTTTATTAATATTATAGTATAACATATGGCCACGCCGCTTATATAGTAGAAGTATATAATTTATAAATTTATAAATTAGTAAATACTAGATCTGGTTGCTAAGCCGGCCAGAACATCTTAAAGACTTCTCTATTCTATAAAATATATAAACTGTGGATTTAAGGTGTAAAAAGCCGTTGATATTATAAATATTAGTAAAAGTAAAAAGATTTTAATAAAAAATAATAAAAAAAGCTATTTTTAATAAGAAATATAGCTATAAGGGCTTATAATCTGTGACAGCTTAATATTATGATATTAAGTATGTAACTAGCTATGTGGCCTGTTTAAGGCAGAAGTAGTAAGGTCTGAGATCACGTGACCCAGGATATCTCTCACAATATTTTTTTTATATATAAAAATTATTAAACATTTTATCTATTATCTTTTAATCCTTTTTAAAAACTTAATAAATATATGGTTTGGATTAATTTTTATTTTATTTCTTTTTTATAAAAATATTAAGCTACTGATTCTTAGATAGATTAATAAAACTAATATTTAAAATATCTGGATTTATTTATATATTATATTAAATAAGGATTTTTTTAAGATGTCTAGCTGTATTAGAAGTATCTGTATAAATTATAATACTATTAAATAATCTATTTATTTTTAGTAAATTATTTCATATAGCAGTATTTATAGTAGCAGTCTTAAATTAATTATTAATATATATATAGTAAAGATTATATTTTAAAAAGTAGTATAAACAGCAATATTATTATTTATTAAAAAATAAATTATTTAATAAGTTAAAATTATTTTATATTTTTTAAAAAGTATAATTAAAATTAGTTAGAGACTGTATTAGATATTATATATATTTTTTAGTTTTATAGTAACTGTTGTAGTTGTTATTAAAAATATCTTTTAATTTAAAATATTAAAAAACTACTAGATCTTTAGTATTTTTATTTATAATCTAAATAAAAGAAAAATTAGTATCTACTAGATAGGTATATTCTATAAAACTATTATTAAAAATTATTAGCTTAAATAAATAGTTTTAGTTATTAACTAATCTTTTTTAGTTTTAATAAGTATACTTACAGTTGTGTTGTATAGTATTATTATATATTTAATTAAATAAATAAAAATATTAATATATTTTTTTATTTAAATCTTTATATCTATTAGTAAGTTTTTATATTTTTTAAAATATATTTTTTACTAATTATATTTAAGTAAAATATCTTTATAATTTATAATATTTATATTTATAAATAGATCTGTAGTAAATTTTAGATTATTTTCTATAAATATACATATAGTAATATATCTGATTATATAATTAGTAAAGTATTTAACTAATAATAATATAATCTAAAAAAAAATAGGAAAGGTATATATTAAAAATAATATATTTATTTACTAAATGGTGTGAACCAATACTATTAATATATATAAATTTATTAATAGATTTAAATATTATATTTCTTATACTAAATATAAATACTTTATTAATTAGTATTAAACTATAATCTATATTAAAATATATTTTATATAAGTTGCTGGTTTTATTTATACCAATAAGTATAGTAGCACTTTATTAGATATACAGTATATTAATATTAAGATCCTTTTTATATTAAGTAGAAATCAGGATATCTTTAGGTTTAATTGTATATACTGGAGGGTTTAGAAGTATAGATTTTAATATAAATAAAAATATAAATATTTTTAGCCAATATATCTTTAGTTTTTTTTTAATATTAAGTTTTGTATTGCGGGGTATGGGAGTCTTTAAAATAAAAAGTATTAAAAGTATGGTTTATAAAATAAAGGGTATTAAAAATATAATTTATAAAATAGAAAATAATAAAAATATAGTTTATAGTTTAAATAGTAGTACTAATACTTTAAAATGTTCTTTCTCTGCTGTATATATCTTTATACTATATAGTATATACTTATATAACTGGTTTTGTAATATAAAAATTATAGAATATTTATTATATATTACAACTATTTCTTTTTTTTAATAGATAAAAAAGTAAAATATATATAATTGTCTTTATTTTTATAAGTATTATACTAATTATAATCTTTATACTAAGTGTTTTTATATATTTTATAGTTATTATAGCTGTTATAATTATTATAAGCTTTAATATTATTATATTTATTATATCTGTTATATTCTTTATCAGCTTTATACTATTTATTATAACTATTATTTAGTAAAGTAGGGTTGGTTATAGCAGTATGTCTAGTATACTACTAAATATTAGTAGTAGATATATTATTTTAAACAGATATCTAATTAGCTTACTAGTATTAATATTAATAGTTCTAAAACTACTTACTTTTATTAATAATAATATTATTATTTTTTATTTTATTCTATAGACGGTTGGCTAGTAGTAACTGGTCTAGATATAACTACTGTATTTACTAATTTTAACAGTTTTAAAAAAAATATCTATTATTATTACTGTTATAATTATTACTATAGTTAGTATTATTCTTATAATTAAAATTAAAATTAGTCTAATTATAATTATTTTAATTATAAGTATTTTAGTTGTATCTAAATCTACAGCCGTGTCTACATCCGCAATAAAAACCAAATCTGTAATTAAAATTAAAATTAGAATTAGAATTAAAATAATTATCTAAGTATTGCTTCTTACTAAAACTGTTTTTTTAATATTTTTTATAGAACTTTTATATAAAATCCCATTTATATTACTACAGTATTATCTTTATATTAAGTTTGCCTAAAAAGTTAACTATTTTAATTATAAATATAGATTAATTAATATTAAATATAAAATTACAATATAGGCGTGTTTATATAGTAGATATTTAATTATATAGTTTAATAATTAAAAATACTTAATAATTATAAATAATATTTTAAGTAAAAGTTTAAATAAACTTACTATTTTATATCTCAGCCCAGCTATATTAGCTATTATTTTACAGGCAGTTTAAAGCTTAGATAGGATTTAATTTAAAATAAAGCTTTAATTCTTTAAAAAGTCTAGTAGTAATAGGAAGTTGTATATATATATCTTTTTAATAATTAAATAAAAATAAATACCAGTTAACGGCAGCTTTATATAAATATTTCTAAATATTAGCTTTTACTGCTGGTTCTCTATAATAGTATATAGTATTATTAACCCTATTAATAAATATATTAATATTTTTAAACTATATAGTATTTTTTATCTGTCTTAAATTTAACACTTATTTTATATCTGGATAGAAGAATCTAATTTTCTTAGGTTTTAATACTTAACTGTAAATAATCTGATTAGTATTATTAATATTATTATTTCTATTATTGCCTATATTAGTATATTTTTTTTATTACTTTTATTAATATCTTATTTTTTATTTTATATAAAGGTATTAATATAATATTTAATATCTGCTATATATTTTATAATACTAGCTATTTACTTAGTTAGATTATTAATAGCAGTAAATAACTACTGCAGGTCTAGCTGTTTTTAAATACTTATTTTAGCTGTAGTTTACTTGTCTGGATTAACTTTATAAGATAATTTATATTATAGTACTAAAATAAAAAATTTTAAAAAAAATAAATAAAAGTTTAAATACTTTAAAAGTATCTAGCATACTATTTTTAAATAGTATAGAAAAAAAATTAAAAAACAAAGTATTTTTAGCTTTGCTAATTATAGGAAAGTCTAAAATAATAAAAATATATTCTAATAAATAAGTATCTAAAGGACTAAATATATCTGAAAGATAGAATATATTAATTAATAGATTAATATTCTAAGGCTTTTTAATACTAGATAGTCCGTCTAGTAATATAATTAGTATAAAAGCAGTAGATAGTAGGTTTATTAATAAATTAGCTTCTATAATAAATATATAATATAGTAAGATAATTTTTATAAAAAATATAGCAGATATAAGTATAGTAAATACAGATATAATAAATATAGATATAATAAATATAGATAAGATTGATATAGATATTATTTTTAAATCTATAGTAGAGATAATAAAAGACAGTTGGTATATTAAGTCTAATTTAAATAATATAAATATTTAGAAAGATATTTAAAAAGGTATTTAAAAAGGTGTTTGGTAGAAAAAAAATATATATTTAATACTATCTCTATTTTTTATATAAATAGTATATAGTTAATATAGTCTTATTAGTAGTAGCTTAGATTTGTATACTATAAATATTTATAAAATTTATTTTTATTATTTAGATTATTTAGAATTTCTAATACTAGATGCTCTGCTTATAGATCTAGATATAGTATATTCTAGCAGTTTCTCTAGTTTTTTTAATTTAATTTAATTAGGTACTTAATTTTTTAGCTATTACTAAAAGTACTATATAATTAGTAGATACTTTATAATATAGTAAAATTTTAAACTACTTTATTTAGTACTAATTAATTAATATTTTAGTTTAGAGAATAAAAGTAATTTAAAGTATTTACAGTAAGTATTATAGTATACAGAATATAAATTACTTAATTAACTGTATTATAGTTAAACTATAAAATAAAATTGCTTAGAAAGATATATATAAAAAAGTAATTTAGTAGTCTAACTTAATATACTGTATATTTTAATATATATAAATAGATATTTATACAAGCAGTAGATATTTAATTAATTTAAAAGTCTAAGACTAATATTGCTGAGCACTAATATTACTAAGTATTATAAAATATAGTATAAAATATTAAGTAATAAGAAATATTAAAATATATTTTTTTACTGTAAAATATAATATTACTTTTTAATAAAAGTAATTTTTTAACTGCCAGGCTCTCCAGAGGTCCAGGAGCGAAAAAATTAATATTTTAAAAATATAATTTAAAATATGCTACTATTATTGGAGCCTTTATACAATATAATATTTTATAATCTTAATTATTATTCTTCTTAAGTTAAAAGTAGCTAGTATATATTAAAGAGTGCCCGGAGGCGGACTGTCATGGCAGAACTACCCGCACCGCGCCGCAACATTTAGAGTAAAAATTAATAAAGCTATAATAGGTATTTTAAAGTTCTACTATTTTAGCTTATAGATTT